AACTTAGGAATACCAAAGAAAAACAGGAGTTTGTAGGAGACTGCCAGAGAGAGAACAGGGTGCCTTCAAAGGGACAAGAGTCAAATTGATGTCAGATGTTTTTCTTTAGTTCCACAAATACTTTTGTAATTGCTTCCAGTGGCCCGTTTAGGGTAAAAAAAATTTTTTTTAAATGTTGATTTGTTTTTTCCCAACAGGAAAATATACGGACAAATCTGAACACAGTAAAGGCAAGGAAATGATAAATGTTAGAACAGAAATTAATGAAACAGTAAAACGAACATACATACAACAGAGATTATTAAAACCAAGAGTTTATTCTTTTTAAGGGCTAATAAAATTGATAACCCGCCTGTCAGGACTGACAAGGAAAAAAAAAGTTCAAAAGCACGAATACCAACATGAGGGTAAAAGTTTATCATGAAAGGTTCTAAACATTAAAAAGATACTAAAGTAATAATACTGTATGCCAAAAAAATATGTGAAATAGAGGAAATCCTAGGAAAACAATTTACTAAAATCTCCACTAGAAGAAATAGAAACTCAGAATAGTCTACTACCTATTTAAGAAGTTGAATTTATCATTTCAAAGCTTCCCACAATAAAGGCTATAATCACAGATGGCTTTACCAGCAAACACTTCAGAACACTTAATAAGGAAATAACTCCAACCGCCAAATTGTCTTCTAAAGCGCCTGTACCATTTTGCATTCCCAGACAGTAATGAATGAGAGTGACTGTTTCTTCACATCCTTGCCAGCAATTGGTATGGTCAGTTTTTTTTGAACGTTAGCTATTCTAATGGGTCTGTAGTGGCATCTCGTTGTTTCATTTGCAATTCCTTATGGTGTATGATGTTGTGAATCTTTTCATATCCTTGTTTTCCATTTTATATCTTATTTAGTGAGGTGTACGTTCAGATCTTTTGTCCATTTTTAATTGTATTTATTGTTGAGTTTTAAGATTTATATATTTTGATACATCTTATCAGATATATGTTTTACTATTTTCTCTCACTCGGTGGCCTTTAATTTTCTTAACAGTAATTGGCAGAGCAGAAGTTTTAAATTTTAATAAAATTCAACTTAGTTTTTTTTTTTGAAAAAGGAAATAACTCCAATCTGAAAATAGGAAGAGAGAACATCTCCCAACTCATTTTGTGGAGCTGGTGTCACAACCTTGATCCCAAAAAGTGAGAGGGAAATTACGGAAAGGAATATTAGAGATCAACTTTTTTCAACACAGATGCAAAAATCCTAAAAAAAATCTTAACAAATTAAATCTGGAAATAGGCACTTTAAAAAGGATAATACATTGAGACCAGATTGAGTTTATTCCAGGAATGCAAGTTAATTTTTTAACATTAAAAATTAATGTGATTTACCACATTTTTAAAAACATAAATAAATTTATTTATTTAGTTTTGGCTGCGTTGGGTCTTTTGCTGCGCACAGGTCTTCTCTAGTTGCGGCAAGCGGGGGCTACTCTTCGTTGTGGTGCACGGGCTTCTCACTGCAGTGGCTTCTTCTCTTGTCATGGAGCACGGGCTCTAGGCGCACGGGCTTCAGTATTTGTGGCTCAGGGGCTCTAGAGCTCAGGCTAAGTAGCTGTGGCGCACAGGCTTAGTTGCTCTCTGGTGTGTGGGATCTTCCAAGACCAGGGCTTGAACCCGTGTCCCCTGCATTGGCAGGTGGATTCTTAACCAACCACTGCGCCACCAGGGAAGTCCAACCACATTTTTAAAAAAGGAGAAAAATGGTGTGATCATCTCAGTAGTTGCAGATAAAGCATTTGATGAGATTTGACGCCCATTTGTCATTTAAAATCTTAGCAAGTTACAACTAGAAGGGAGGTTCTCTAAGCCATGTCTGCCAAAATCCCACAGCCAAAAAACATGTTCAGTGTAGCTGTTTCCAAAGTAGCCCATTTTCCCCCAGCTCTGCACACGTGGCCAGTCCTCTCCCAGTAAAGTGGAGCCCCAGCTGGCCTGTAACTCGCTGTGGCCGTCAGAGTGTGGCGGAGGAGGGCCCAGCTGCTTGTGCCTGTTGTGAAGGTCTGGCCACCACCTCACCTCAAAGTTCTACTGTCATGTTAAGATATAAACCCAGGGTCAACTCGGTCATTGTAACTGTCCAGAGCTATGAAATGATCATAACTCCAGCCTGACTTTAAAGTTAAAGGCTTGCCCTTTCTCTGGTGAGGCTGAGGTGGGAGGCGGGCCGGCAAAGGACAAAGAAGTTTTGCTTTTTCCCATCCGTGCTCCCTGGGGCTCTCGGCACGGTGGCGGGGGTGGGGGGGCGATGGGGGGGACAGAAGTTCAGCAAATGGCCTCTGGCACACTTAGAATAGAGGTGCAGCTGCAGGGAGCCCTGGGCGGCACCCCAGGGCCCAACCTCTCCCTCAGGTGTGGGAGCCACAGGGAGGGTTCCCCGCAGAAGCAATGTCCCCGTTGAGTCTTGCTGGGTGAACTGGACTTGGCAGAGCCAGGAGTTTGGGGCGGGGGAGAGGGGTGGTTGGAAAATAATGTGGCTTTGAAGTTGGACCTTTGCAAGACGTGGTGATTCGGGTTCCAGGGCTGAGGTGAGGACCTCGGGGCTGGGCATATGAAGCCCTTCTGCTGGCTGTGCTGGGGTGGGTCCTTCCCTGTGGGTGGAGGGGACACACAGACCAGCACGACTTGCTGGAACTTCTGAATGATGACATGATCACCATTGCACGTTTTCAGGACACGCAATAAACCGGGACTTGTCACCATCCAGCGATGGCGACATCGACCTAGCTGTGTATGGCATCACTGGTCCACACGGTTTCCTGTCCCTGCTCCGTGAGGGGGATGCCTGCCATCCTCACGTAAGGCCACTGGCCGCCGGTGGTCTAGTCAGTTTCCCTGATGGACCCTGTGCTCGCCGCCCCCCATCACGGAAGGAGAGGGCCGGAGGGATCATGTCGTTCGGGGTGGAGCCACTTGGATCAGCTGCAAACAACCGCTGTGCCATCAATGCAGACATTTACTGGTTAACACAGCCTGGCCCAGACACAGAGCGAGGACAGGCTTGCTCGAGGGTCCCTGGCTCCCCTCCTTGAAGCAGTGAGTGAGCTGGATGTGTTGGAAGCATTTCCCTTCCGCTCAGGCGACGCAGGGGGCAGGGGTACAGGAGAGATGGCGGGGGCTTGTCTGCAGGCTGGGCCACGGGTGGGGGGCCTGGCCCCGCACTACTCCTTGCGGAAGGTGGGGAGGGAGTTCTTAGGGAGAGCCTGCTTGCAGCCCCTGGCTGGCAGGGCCTCTGAAATAGCTACCTGAGTGGCCTGGAAGGGTCTGCAGGGCACAGGCTGGTGGGAGCTGCCACCGCGGTGGTGTGAGGATGGGGCTCGTCCGGCCACAGCTCAGAGAGGCGGAGGAACCAAGTTTCTGGTGGGCTTGGTGCACCCAGCTGACCGCCAGGCCCTGAACCCGGAGAGGTCCTTGTCTTGCAAGACGTGGTCCAGGGGGCTCCCTGCCAGGAGGAGGCTATGTGTGTGGAGGTGGGGCTCGGGGTTAGAAGGCCATCCTCGGAGAGGGTCTCCCCCTCCCACGGAACCGTGCAGGGGGAAGGTCCTTGCAGAGATCCCTGGAGCACCCCAGGAGATTCCGAGAACAAAAGCCAGCCCTGGAGCGTATGCCCCCCCCCCCAAGTCCTTCAAGTGAAACCTGGCCCTAATTTTTTGTCATTCTCTTCACCAGGCCACCCTGAGGAGCCAGCAGTAACTGGGGGGCGGGGGGGAGGGGCAGCAAGCGGGGAGAGGAGGTCTGAGCAATAGGGCAGGCGGAGCGGAGAAACAGCCAACGGTTTACATTAGTTGTGGAATAAAGTTTTGATTCAGTTGAGACTGGACTTCAGTTCCCGAAAATGACTCTTGCAATAAGTGTGATGGGACAGGTGTGACTGTACTTGAGGTGGGGATGGGCCAGGAGGCACGCTGAGGGCAGGGGATGGAGAGGCAGGAAGGAGCTCCTAGTCTGACCACCTGAGCACAACCTCTTCCTTTCGCTTCAAGCCGTCAGGAAGCAGCTGGGTCAGCGTCAGCCCTGCTGGGGTGCGTGCGGGGCAGCCGGCCACCCAGCAATGTCTTTGTGGATGGGGCAGTATGGGTGGGAGAGCAGAGGTCTTCCCCTTTAAAGGCCTGAGATCCCTACCCCATCTCCTGGTATTCAGACTGCTCCAGGTAAAGCGTTGGGGACCCCCAACTGCCCGAGATGATGTTTCCACCACCACCCTGGCAGAACGGGAGCAAAACATGACTTTAGGCAACAGGAAAATAAGGGTGATTCCCTTTCCTGCAGGCCTGGGCTGGTGGATTAGGGGCTGTGATGGCCTGTGACCTCCTGGAAGCCCATGGGTGGTGGGAAGAATTTAGGATGACCCTGTGATTTCCCCCTGGGGCATCTGGGTGAAGCTGGTGCCCTTAACCAAGAAAAGGAGTAGCCTAGACCTGCCTGGCCACCAATGCAGGCCCTGTGACATGCAGATGTGACACCCCAGGTGTGAAGGTGGGGGAGGCCATCACCCCCAAGGCAGCAGGTGGCTGCCACCAGCCAGGGCGGACAATCTGGGCAATCGCAGGGGCTCCAGTGGAGGGGGTGGAGGTGTGAGGAGGGAGCCTGGGGGCCGGCAGTAGCGGTCCTGGCCCAGCTGCGCAGCTTCACACGGATCTGTGGGTCTGTCTGTGCAGCGTGAGGCCTGTCAGCCTGAATGCTGTGGGGGCGGGGCGGGGCGGG